AAGTGACATTGACTACAATAATTAAAGAGCCCTTATCTATTTCAGATTTAAACCTTGCCATCAGATTCTGAGGGCAAAAAGTGAGCTAGTTTAACCTTTGATAGCTTTCCTCGCTCACTGGGAACTAGAAACACCTCAGGTTTGAGGTTTCGGGTTAAGTTCTGAATAGCTGGCCTGCCAGTACTGACTAATATTTTGCTGTATGTATTGATTTCTTTTCTTAGATTTGCTAAGAGTGGAAGATGGTGTTACGTACAGATATACCACTTTATGCTATTTGCCAGAGCTTACAGTCAAATTTAATATAAACATCATTTCAGTTCACTCTAATCTGTGCAAGTCTATTTTCTGGTGATAATTTACTCTGGTCAATAGAATACTGTGGTGTCAGTAGGGGTTGGGTTTTCAGAGAGGGGTCCATGGAGACAGCGAGCCCAAACATAACTCAGCGACTCCTAAAAGGGTAGTGCTACATGTGCATGCCAATACCTAATATGAGTTGTAGAAGTGTCATTTTAATAAGCAGTATGTGACAAATATTTTGTGTTTGTGTGCAAATGTAGGGAATTTACATTTTTTTACGGGGTGTTTTTTAAAACTTTTTTCTTTACTTAGCTTTATTACTATTACAAGGGGACTGATAAGCCCCTTGTGATAGTAAATATTAGGAGTCACCACTGCACTCTGCTGAAGCTGATGAAGCACAGACTGCTCAAACAGCTTCTTCCGCAGCCAGAGTCACCAGGGTTTGACAGCCCTGTCTTGGAAAATGGTCAGAGCTTAACACTTCCAGGTGTATACTCCACAGGGTAGTTCATCGAGCAGAAGTTTGCTGATCTCCTGACACTCTTCATCCTGACACCCACCATGGATGTCTCATGCACCTAGTAGGGACACAAAAGCTCGGGGAAGAAAGAGGATGCAGGGGAGGTGGACTCTTCCCAAACATCTAAACCCTTTTTGGGGGGTTTCAAGGCATGCTTTATATACCCAAGGTCCATATCTATTTAAAATACATCTATAGCATTTTTTTTTATTGTAGCCAGCTCCTGGGCTACAGCAATATGGAGATGGAAACATTGCCCTTTATTCTTCTCTCCCTCTACTGAGATTCTCATGATATGCTTCACCATCTTCTGGTCAGCAGGAGGAGAGCTAAAGCCATGCAAACCATGCAGAGCACTAAGAATCCTGGGAGTTGTGGTCTGAGATGGCAGCCATAAAATGGCTACACTATAATGCTTACACTACATTTCCCAATTATACACTGTGCAGTGGGAGGAGTGGAGAGATGATTTTAATTAAACTTCCAGGGAAGGTTCTTCTTTTTGGCTCTGAAGGAGTTAGAGAGAGAGCACCTCTGTCTGAATATTCCCCTGCCAGATGGCGACCATGCCAGCAGAGATCAAAGCCTGAGAATGATAGTGGAGACATCTGGGGACATAGAGTGTACCAATCCATACCGCACTAATACTGCACTCTATACCGCAATTATTCCAAACTTAGACTGCACCCAAATCAACCCTATACTGCATCATACCGAACCATTACTGCATCTGATACAATAAAGGTAATTTTAGGGCACACAAACGCAATAAATTACCATAATTTTTGGTAAAATATAAAAGACAAGGTTGCACCGAGTAAACATGTCAAACCTTAAATTTGTGTGCACCTGTGAAATGGTGACAAACTTTAATACCCAATATTTTCATTTTTAATTAAAAGCCCCCTATAGGTCTTCAGTTTAGCATTACAGAGGAGGTCTGGTGCTAGAAATATTGCACTCACCTGTGCATCAATATGTAATGTGTATCGCAATCAACATTTTCATGTGTAGGCACCTCCGGTGCATATATATGGGGCCGGGGAGGGCCTCAAAAAATTTGGGGGTGGGACTTTATGTGATTGGGTGTAACTTTAATTTTTTACAATTTTAAAATATTTTTTTTACTTAATTTTATTTCATCACATAGGGACAAAAAGTCTATGTGATGATTTTTTTGGTGACAGGTTCTTCTTAATGAGACACCTGAAGTCTAAAAGACCTTGGATGCCTCCCCTGTTCTCAACTGAATGTAATGCAATGCAGATGCTCTGCATTACATTCGTTCCTTGCCATACTGGTCTGGGACACTGATAGAGGGACCTGGAAGTGACACTTTATACGCATGTCACTGTCAGTCTGCTCAGCAACCTCCCCCCTACCTGGCAGGACCCACTATGCCAGTCCCATGCCCACAGATGGGTAGGTGGAGCCCGGGATACATGGCAGGGGCGAGCATGTTACCAGGGGTGTGTGGAAGCAATCGGGTGCAGCACAGCACAGCCACCAGAATTCTTCCAGCTGCAGCCACAGGGAGTGTTTGTAAAACCCCCCACTGTCAGGTCCATATGATGTACGCACCTGGCTGTGAAAGAGTTTTTTTCCATGTCTGCGTCCCTGATAGGTAGGTTTGTAAAGGAGTGGCCAATTTCTCACCATGCTCAGATGCTGACACAGACCGATTTAACTCTTTCCCACAGCATCCTGAGTTTCTAGAAAAGTCCAGGATAGATACACTATATTGTCAAAAGCATTGGGGCGCATGCCTTTCCACGCACATGACCTTTAATGGCATCCCAGTCTTAGTCCGTAGGGTTCAATATTGAGTTGGCCCACCCTTTGCAGCTATAACGGCTTCAACTCTTCTGGGAAGGCTGTCCACAAGGTTTAGTGTGTCTGTGGGAATGTTTGACCATTCTTCCAGAAGCACATTTGTGAGGTCAGGCACTGATGTCGGAGGAGAAGGCCTGGCTCGCAGTCTCCGTTCTAATTCATCCCAAAGGTGTTCTATGGGGTTGAAGTCAGGACTCTGTGCAGGCCAGTCAAGTTACTCCACCCCAAACTCACTTATCCATGTCTTTATGGCATGATTTGTCACTCCAGAGAACACGTCTCCACTGCTCTAGAGTCCAATGGTGGTGTGCTTTACACCACTGCATCTGATGCTTTGCATTGCACTTGGTAATGTAAGGCTTGTATGCAGCCACTCGGTCATGGAAACCCATTCCATGAAGCTCTCTACACATTGTTGTTGTGCTAATCTGAAGACCACAAGAAGTTTGGAGGTCCTTAGCTATTGAATCTGCAGACAGTTGGTGACCTGTGTGTACTTCAGCATGCGCTGACCCCACTCTGTCATTTTACGTGGCCTACCACTTCGTGGCTGAGCTGCTGTTGTTCCCAGTTGCTTCCATTTTGCTATAATACCACTAACATTTGATCATTAATGGTATTTAGTAGCAAGGAAAGTTCATGGATGGACCTATTGCAGAGGTGGCAATCACGGTACCACCACACTTGAATTCACTGAGCTCCTGAGAGCGACCTATTCTTTCACAAATTTTTGTAGAAGCAGTTTGCATGCCTGGGTGCTTGATATTATATACCTATGGCCATGGAGGTGATTGGAACACCTGAATCCAATGATTTGAAGGGGTGTTCCAATACTTTTGGCAATGTGGTGTATGTATCTCTGCTTTCCTCCATCAGCAGCTCAGAGAGGCCGCACCTCAAGAGGCAGAAGTAGTGATCTGCAGCCAGGTGCAGCCACTGTCAGAATTGGTATGCGGGCTGATGGGCAGGAGCCTAATAGCTTGCAGCCTCTCTGGAAGACCCAGCTTTTTCAGGCAGAACCTAAGCAATTGCTACCAGAGCACTACAGTCCAACCAAAATTACCCTTTTGTTTTTGTTTCCCAGCATTTCACCTATGTTACTAGCGATACCCTGGACTTCACTGAAAGGGATGCTGTTTATGATGATGATTGCAAGTAGATGTTTGTTCTAACCTGTTTTACTGAAGTAGCGATTTTCAGCTAGACTGTTGTTATGGAGTCTTATAGAGACACCCACATATTACACTGAACACAGAGAAATTGCTGTGCAGAGTCCATGTTTGTGCAGCTTTTATAATCTGTATTATTCTGCAGTGTATGCATGTTCTTTGCCATTCTGACCCTGTTTTGCATTATTAGTCTAACTTTGCACCTATTTAGTAAACTGCAAGTCACAGTTCCTGTCTGATCATTCAGCTGATTATCCATCCTGTTACAGGTTCACTCTATTTGTAATACATTTTTCTCTGAAGTGCTGTTATAGTTAAGCAAGTAAGAGCAACATGTATCTTAAATTGTGTCCTAATTTATTTTGCTCTTAAAAAACTATAGAAAGAATAGCAGAAATGCTGTCATTCTTTGGGGTTTCGGTTATTTTCTCCCATAGAAATAGCAGTACCTTTGCCAGAAGGTCATAGTGATCATATACAGCTCTGGTAGGGTGCAGCTGCTGGTGATATTTGGCTTAAATGTCATTCAAGAAATGAGGGCTGAGATACTCAAGAAGCATACTACACATTTACACCCACCCAAAGAAATCAGAAAATTGCTGCACACTTTGGGAACCCTGGAAGAGTACAACTGTGCAGCCTCCCTAGCGGTCTGATTATGTCAGTATTTCTGTGCTCAAAGCGGTACATTTTTTTGCATGGAAATATGTAGTTTTTTTTATTGTAGGCCTGTAATTTTTAGGAATAACTCACTGAAATCTGTCCGAGCAAGAGTCTAGTAAACATCCCGGGTATGTTAAAATTTGAATCACGAAATCATAAAATTATAGTTTAATAAATAATCATAAAAAATAATAATATAATAATGATACATTTAATTCAATAATATAATCAAACCAAAAACACAGAAATTTGAAATATAGCGCCAAGTTCGCACATCACTGATCAAAGTCGCAAAATCGTTTTCAGTGTCTGATGACGAATTTCCCCACGAATCATTATCACTCAATTCTGCAAGTGGTTCTAATTTACTATCGCTGTTCTCTAGCTGGTCTAAAACCGCTTTTCACTTAAAGGGACGCTTTTTTGGACGCCATGGACGTTTCTCAGTTTCAAGGCAGAAAGAACAGTAAAAATGCGGGCAGGGCACAAGACAAAGCACTAGGGACAAAATGTATGTGAAATGGTTTGATACAGTAATGTTTTACGATGTGATTTTAGAACATTTAGTTGAATGTCACTTTTTGACATTTTTAAATTTCCCGTCAGTTCCGTCCCCGTACGTCCTGAAGTCGCAGGGAACGGAACCCAGAAGACGGATGTCGGCATCGGCCGGAGGACATTGCCGGGGACGCTGCAGGGGGGGACATCGCGGGAGCGCAGGACAAGGTAAGTGCAGAAGGGATCCCGGAGCAACGCTGCTGGTAACTCCCGAGTGTAGCTCGGGGTTACCGCTTGTGGTGCTGAAACTTTACCCCGAGCTACACTCGGGAATACCGCCAGGGAGGTTAAGGAAATACCCATATGGAATAAAAATATATTTGAAATAATTTAAAAAATATTCTTCCCAAATATATTGCCACATATTTGAAATACTGCATTTTTGGAATGTATTTACAAATATATGTAAAAATATATGTTAAAATGGCTTTTTTATATGTTAAAAAAAATCTGAAGAATATATTTTAACAAAATATATTTTAAAAAATATATATTTTTTAATATATTCTTCAGATTTTTTATAATAAAAACGCATTCCAACATGCATTATATATACATATATTTATTGAAATATATTTTGAAATATATTGAATATGGCCAAAATTGTAGTATTTCAAATATATGGCAATATATTTGGGAAGAATATTTTTAAAATACAGTATATTTCAAATATATTTTTCTTCCATGTGGGAACAAAGAGTGGTTGTCCTCCCTAAGAGACAGATACAGTTTTGATGGTGGCCCTCTCCCAATCCCAGAGAAAGAGTAAAGCTACTATCAGAAACCAACAAACTTCTGAGTGAGTGGTCTTGCCTTGTCCTGAGGGATGGTATACTGTACTGCAGATATGTATTCCTCATGACGAGTCAGTATCATAGCAATGGTAAAAATACAGCGAGCACTCAGGATAAAAATATCATAAGCTGCATATGCACCAGTATAGAACAATATCAAAAATAAAAAAAACAGTGCAGCGCTAGAAAATACTATAAAAATATTAACGAAAATCAATAACATACCAAATGTTCAATATTAACCAATAATACAGGTTAACTTATAGATATAAGTAAGTAAGCGCTCTAATAAATGTGCTAAACATAAATGTGATCGTGTGAACAGTCTTACCCATACAAGTGTTCATAGATATTGTGCAGGCTTGACGCGATTAGGTCAGCATATTAGTGCTCCGTATACATAAATTGCTGTAGTGACTTCATCCGTGCGAAAGACTGTAAGAAATGCGCACTCAGCAGATGTGCATAATAAATGCGCATTGAGCTGAATATGAATCTGTAGGGAGCCCCTTAAAAGGCAGGACATGCTTAGCTAAGAAAACCCCTTCTCCCCTCCTCAAAACTCCTGGGATGTATGACATCATTTTCCTAGGCAAGAAGGAAGTAGCTGAAGAAATGTAAAAAAAATTGTTTAAAACAAGTAAATGTGATATACTTTCCTATCTACAGTGTCAAAGTAGGTAGGTGGTCTTTTTCCTGTTCCTTGGGGGCCCCCTCAAGATACCAAAGGTCACACCTGGACACAGCTACGAGATCTCGGAAAGTGAATGCACTCAAATCACCTCAGTTGCGATTGCAAACACTTCAGTTTTATTGGCATAACATCAGGGTTATTATACTGTAGTCTTTAGGCAAACACACCCTCAGACCATCCAATTAAATACATGTACATTGTTTTACCTTAACTCAACAATTATTTGTATGAGGTTTGCATTTTCACTCTTCTGCTTTATCTATCATACCATATCTCCTCTAAAGCCCAGACCATGGCTGTAATCTGACCTAACACCCAAGTTTTGGTTAAAACTTTTCAGAAGTGAGAGTAAACCTTATCTGCTTTTTTGTAAAGTTTGCAAAAACACTCATTTCTACATGAAGCTAACATAGACAGTTTTGTTAGTGTGTACATATCTCATATGTATGTTAAACTAGCATCTTGTATTAGTGTATACAAAATGGATTCAGTTATATTCCATTTAATCCTTTCACAGTGGATATAAAAAGTCTACACACCCCTGTTAAAATGTCAGGTTTCTGCGATGTAAAAAAATTAGACAAAGTTAAATCATTTCAGAACTATCTTCCTTGCAAAAACACTCCAAATCTGTCAGATTGCGAGGGCATCTCCTGTGCACAACCCTCTTCAGATCACCGCACAGATTTTCGATCAGATTCAGATCTGGGCTCTGACTGGGCCATTCCAAAACTTTAATTTTCTTCTGATGAAGCCATTCCTTTGTTGATTTGGATGTATGCTTTGGGTTGTTGTCATGCTGAAAGATAAAGTTTCTCTTCATGTTCAGCTTTCTATCAGAAGCCTGAAGGTTTTGTGCCAATATTGACTGGTATTTGGAACTGTTCAGAATTCTCTCTACCTTGACTAAGGCCCCAGTTCCAGCTGAAGAAAAACAGCCCCAATCATGATGCTGCCACCACCATGCTTCACTGTGGGTATGGTGTTCTTTTGGTGATGTGCAGTGTTGTTTGTGCGCCAAACATATCTTTTGGAATTATGGCCAGAAAGTTCAACCTTGGTTTCATCAGACCAGAACACATTTTCCCACATGCTTTTTGGAGAATTCAGAAATGCTTTTACAAAATTTAGCAGGCTTTGATGTTTTTCTTTGTAAGAAAAGGCTTCCATCTTGCCACTCTACCCCATAGCCCAGACATATGAAAAATATGGGAGATTGTTGTCACATGTACCACACATCCAGTACTTGCCAGATAATCTTGCAGCTCCTTTAATGCTACTGTAGGCCTCTTGGCAGCCTCCCAGACCAGTTTTATTCTTGTTTTTGGTAATGTCACTGTTGCGCCATATTTTCTCCTCTTGATGACTGTCTTCATTATGTTCCATGGTATAGCTAATGCCTTGGAAATTCTTTTGTACCCTTCTCCTGACTGATACCTTTTAAGAATGAGATCCCTCTGATTCTTTGGAAGCTCTCTGTAGACCATGGCTTTTGCTGTAGGATGCGACTAAGAAAATATCAGGAAAGACCTACTAGAGCAGCTGAATTATTTGGGGTTAATCAGACGCACTTTAAATGATGGAGGGTGTGTACTGACACCTATTTAACATGATTTTGAATGCGATTGCTTAATTCTGAACACAGCTACATCCCCAGTTATAAGACGGTATGCACACTTATGCAACCACATTATTTTAGTGTTTTATGTTTATTTTCCCCCCGTAAAAGATTTCAGTTTGTTTTTCAATTGAGTTGTACAGTTCATAGGTTACATTAGAGGTGGAAAAAGTTTTGAAATGATTTATCTTTGTCTCATTTTTTACATCACAGAAACCTGATATTTTAAACAGGGGTGTGTAGACTTTTTTTATATTCACTGTATTTACTAATGCTAGCAGTATTAGTATATTCTGTTGATGTGGCCAGTAAAAAAAAACCTCATTGTTTGTGGCTAGTTTTGCCGAAGGTATAGGATATCCTATCTTTACAACTGGCAGTGCTTAGTTTACATCCCTCCACTTCAGGAGTTCCTAGTTCACAACATTTCTAAACCTTAACTGAAACGTTGTAAAAACGTTCTACAAAGCACACTTGGAACTTTTATTTTTAGGTAATTATCCAGAAGTCAAGATCCTTGATGTTTAGGGGCTTATTCACACCTGCAAACAAGCTGAACGTAAGGCTGCCGATGTGTACCAGGAAGAAACATGCTGATGCCCTAATTCTGGTGCATTGCACTCTTTACTTGTTTTGTTAGAATGTTATTGAAATGTCACAGTTGACATTTCATTTAGTTTTATTCACTGCAGTGGCATTGCGATACATGGAATTTGCATTGCAACATGCTGCACACATCAGGGCAATGAGGTGCTGTAAACTGACTTTGTAGCAAGTGAGAAAAATTGGGGCTAATTTACTAAAACTGGAGAGTGCAAAATCTGGTGCAGCTGTGCATGGTAGCCAATCAGCCTCTAGCTTAAGCTTGTTCAATTAAGCTTTAACAATAAAACCTGGAAGCTGATTGGTTTCTATGCAGAACTGCACCAAAGTTTGCACTCTCCAGTTTTAGTAAATCAACCCCATTGCCTTGAATCGTTCAGTGCAACCCAATGCAAATAGTGTGAATGGGCCCTAAGTTCACAGAAAAATTGCAGGGCTGTAATTGAAATTCATCTTATGCTTTCTTGCAGAATTGCTACAAAACTGAGCCAGTTATCTATACAGCCAACTGAAGGTAGCATATCAATAGCTCAATGCACCATTAAAATGTGTTGACTCATTTGAGAATAGATCTGGATTTAGGAGACACAAATGCTAATATTAGATTGTATAAATAGACTTCAACCACTAGAGGGCAACAACAGCAAATTAATGAAGAGAGAAACCTGTTGGTGACCTAATATGCATGACACCTAAGACAAATGTTAAAACAAATGTACACTTCTATATACAAGTCAAAATAACTGATAATTGCATTGTATAAATAATTTAATGATGGCTGCTCAGAAAGCGCATGCTAATACACTAATTTACTAAAGTGAATTGTAAGATGCCATTACAGTGGGCATATTTCACACTGTATGGACATGGCCCTTAATGTGCAGCTATGTGCAAGAACTCCAAGGACTCCTACATATGGGCAAATAACCCCATTGTGTTTGAAGTCGTGTTGCATTTATTTACGGATCAGAACACAGGTGCATTGTTGTCTATGGGGCAATGCACACAGCTGAGTAATGATCTGTAAAGCAACAATGTGTTCTGGGGTGTACAAAAATTAGAACATTTTACATTAGATTCCAGTAATTTATGCGTATACATGAGTACATATAAGAATATATACATAAACTGAAACACTGGTAGCTAGAAGAGGACGAAAAAGAATTTCATGCATGTATACATGCAAGCACATTAATGGATTTGTATGTCTTTACAGAACATGCTATTTTTTACTCGGTATTTTGTGCCTGCAAGGTACCTCTGCCAACAAGTTCCTACGTATAAATATCAGTACATTATTATGTCAGTACACAAAAAACCTTAAAGTGGTATTACACCCAAAAACAAAAATGTGATATATTGCATCTTACCAATCATTAGATGTGGTGTCTGCATTCAATTTCTTTTTTTAGGCTTTTTTCCCTCTGTTTTCCATTGCTGATCCTGACAGTAACACACGTCTTGTATTAGAGTTCCACATCTGGATAAATGAGCACAGGACACAGCAGACAGCAGCACTGTCAGTCTGGGGGCAGGGTAATTATAAATGTACTAGCATATTTAAATAAACTAACAAATTGAAGCCAA